CAGAGTTAGTTTCATTAATTTGTCTTCCAAGGTACTTCTTAGAAGTTGTCAAATTTATTTCAAAAAAAGATTTTTGTAATGTGCTTTCTGTATCCTTTTAAATTCTGTAAAATCTGTGGTAATGTCTTCTAGATCTTTGTATTGTAATTTTAAAAATGTATAATTGATATTGTATAATAAGAACCAAAAATCTAAAGAAGCAGGGGAAGTGGGAGGGCTAGGGGAAAGGTAAGAAGGGAAAGGAAAAATATGAGAAAAGAAAAAAGAAATGTAAACAACGTCTTTGCAAATAGGGAAGGGTGGAGGGGGTGAAGGGAGGGCAGAGGAAGGGGAAAAAATAAAAACCAAATTACATCTTGTAAAGGTATAAGATCCTAATGATGAATGTAACTGTATTTTATACCTAAAATGTACCAATAAACTTAATAAAAAAAAAGAAAATGGAAACAAAGCTTTTGTAAATAAGGAGGGGAAGAAGAGTTGAAGGAAGGGGAGGAGAATGGAAAAAATAAGAAGAATCAAGTCATATCATGCCCAAGTACAAATTCCCTATGATGATTATTATGTATATCTAAAATGTACCAATAAAATGAATTTTTTGAAAGAAAGTGAATATGTGTTCCCAAGGGTGTACAAATATTGACAAAATGAAAAAATTAGAATTAAATGATAGTAATGGTCTGTAAATGAGGCAAGATGAAAGAAAAGCCAACATCCTGACTCCTTCAGACAAACAACATACTTCATCCAGGGTCATAAAGGAAACCTGAGTTCTGAAGATAAACATATTCATAAGGGCTGGAATGATTGCTGAAATGACATGCCAGACTTGATCCTCTTGCTCATTTCCTGGGGAGGAGGCAGAGACAGCTAAGGGTTTCAGACTGTAAGCTCCCCGTGCCCTGCAGTTCCCTCATCACTGGTTGAAACTCTCCCTCTTTCATCTGTCTAATATTCCTAAAAGGAAAATATTACCTGGAGTAATTTAAGTCTCTTGATTAATAATAATTTGCTTGGCCTGAAAGATGTATAGGATACTAGGAAAGCCTACTTGTAGACGTGTCTGTTGGAGACATAGGAGTGTTACCTGAGGGAGCATGTCTGGCCTCTGGACCCTTCTTCTCAGGCTCTTTCCCTGCTCTGTGCTTCCTCGCTCTCATAAAATACTTTACTTCATTTCTATCCACCATGATGTATCTGCTTTGGAGACAATCACAGACTGATATCTGTGATAATAAGACAGAATAAATCTTTTTTTTTTTTTTGGTGTTTTGAGACATAGTCTCACTATGTAGTTCAGACTAACCTTGAGCTCACTATGCAGCCTAGGCTGGTCTGGACCAGTTCCAGAGGCTTCTAAACTATATAGTCAAGTACAGTCACAATAGTGACCCCACTCCTGGTACCAATTAGCCAATTGCCTCATCACTGAGGCAAAATATCCAACATCCACAATTTAAAGGAGGAGAGGTTTATTTTTGCTATTTCAGAAGTCTGTCCTTGAATGGTCATCTGACTCCAAGGCAGAAAACATCATGGCAAAGGGACATAGTGGAGGAAAGGTGCTCACATCATGGTAGTCAGGAAACAGAGAAAAAAGGAGTCAGGAAGGGAGATATACCCAGGTTATACCCCAGTGACCCACCTCTTCTGACCCTACCTCCTAACATCAAATCAGCTATATTGTCCCCATGATCCATTTACCTTCCAAAAGCCCTGCCTATTAGTGCATGAGGCCTTTGAAGGATATTCTCAATCTAAGCCATAATGATAGGACAAAATAAGAAAAAAAAACTGCAAACATTGATGTGCTTTAAATATTAAAAACTAGTCCTTTAATTCTCTGCTTGCTGCAATGGATTCTTTAGATCTGTTTCTTCAAACCATTTCTGAGGAGTTAAAGATTCAAGAATCCCTAAATAGTAGGGAGGTGCTAGACAAAACATTAATGAGAATTTTCTTGTTCTACAAACAAAACTGAATAGTATATCAAGTGCCCTTGCAGTATAATGCCACACACACACACACACACACACACACACACACAACCACTACATCCATAGGCCTCAGCCTGGTGTGTCCATGCTCCTGGAACCTAGCTTCCCACTTTTATAACCAAGTCTCTTAATAGTGAGAACCTAATCCTTCCATCAGAATGAATAATTACATAAGTAAGGCAGTGAACAGAAATACATTTGCAAGTCCAGATGTCCAAAGTATGTACCTGAGTTTTCTCAATATTTTATGAAAACAAGACTGATGTACATTTTTGTGGTTGACCAATCCAGATATTCACCCAAGCACCACATTTATTTAAATGTCAAAAAAAATGAATGCCCAATAAAATTAACACAGTCCAGTGGACCTTTCATTTGAAAGTCTGCAGAATGATGGTCTCTATGTTTGGGCTAACCATGGAGAATTAGAATTAGTGCACTGAGAAACACCAGGGCCCAGAGACAAAATAGAGCTGAGAATATAGCTGCATACAGAATTCAGAACAACATGCAAAGAAGCCAAAAGATACTGAACATAACAATATCATAAGGTCAGGAGAGGCCAGAATTATGTTTGGTATGTGAAAATATCTAATGATGGTCTTATGGTTCTATTTCCCCATAGAATTTTACATGTTCACGTCCTCAGCCATTGAATCAGAGTGATTACAGGAACCCAGTAAACAAAGGAAAAGAAGAGTAAAAGAAAAGCTAATAAAAACAGAAACTACTAATATATATGTTAATAGTTATATCTCTTCATTTTTCTTTCTTTTACAGACCTTGAAGGCAAAACTGCAAGACACTAACAGATGCAGTTGGACCAAATCTAAGGTTATTTGGCAATATAATAAATACAGAGAGATCTACAAATAGCTGTATTTAGGGAAGAATAACTTTGAAGATTTACTGCAGCCTCAGATAATATTATGCTAAACAATTAAATATTTTTGTGACAACAAAAAGAATTCAATCATTTTATGTTGCCTGTATTCACTCCTGCGTTTATTACTTTTATTTTCTCAAAAATAGTTTTGTGTCAATTACTATTTTTTAAATTACATTAAAAACCAGTTGTCTGTCATTGAATCTTTTTCTGAAAGACCTATTTCCTTCCACCAGCCATTCTTCATATTTGCCCACATGTCCAAACCACCTTGGACTCAACTGAATGGGCCACAATGAAGGAGAAACTATCTTTTTTGTTTTTTCTGTCTCTATCTCTATTTCTGTCTCTCTGTCTCTGTATCCCCCACACACACACATACATTTAATCTTTAATGGTTGAGTGAGTTGGTGTCTGAGGTTAGGAGTAATGAACTAGAAAAAAAATAGTAATGAACTAGAGAAAATCATAGGGTTATGCTGTGAGATCTTCAGGACTGGTCAGGTTCACCATCTTCAGAAGACCTGGCTGTGCACTATTTTTCATATAAGTGTCTTTGCAGCAAATTGAACTTTTTCATTAACCTCGATTGAACAGGTTTCTATATCTTGATACCAGAAATGGCCTGAATAAACATAATTTTAAAGAAAAACAAATTTTTTACCAATATATTGCACTCCTTAAATAAGAATTAGTCTTTTATTAAAGCAGTACTAGTCAAACCAATATACTCGAATATTTTCAAGTTTAATAGGACCCAACAAAAATGTGGTTAGGAACTTTTAAAAATCCAGGAGTCTTGTTTAAAAAAACTGCAGCTCTCTGTGCTCTATATTTTTTTAATAACTCAAAGGACAAATTCCTTTTTTTATTAATTGAGTTTATTGGTACATTTTAGGTATACATTATGATTGCATTAATCATTGGGAATTTGTACCTGTACATGATATATCTCGGTTCATGTTTTTTCTCATTCCTCTCCCCTCCCTTCCACCCCTCCAACCTTCCCTATTTACAAAAGCTTTGTTTCCATTTTTTCCTTCTTTTCTTATTTTTTCTTTCCTTTCCCCTGCCCCTACCCAGTTGCCCTGGCCCTTTGAACCTTTTCTTCCTATTTCACTATATCTATTATACATTTTGGTTCTCATTTACACTTTCAGTATTTACATGTGTTTCTTGTTTCACTTGAGAGTATGGTCTCAAGGTGCATCCATTTGGCTGTAAATGCCTCTAATTTATCATTCTTTATGGCTGAGTAGTACTCTATTTTATATTTTTTTAAAAGACATCTTTTTTATCCAGTTACCAGTTGATGAGCATTTGGACTGTTTCCAAGATTTAGCTATTACAAACTGTGCCACTATAAAGATGGATGTGCACACATTGCTGTGGTATAATGCTTTTAATTCTTTCTGGAACATACCCAGAAGGGGAATAGCTATGTCAAGTGGGACCTCTAGTTCTAGCTTTTTGAGAAATCTCCACACTGATTTCCACAGTGGTTGCACCAAACTACATTCCCACCAACAGTGGAGAAGGGTTCCTTTTTCTCTACAGCCCCACCAGCATTTGTTATTAGTTGATTTCTTGATAGTAGCCATTCTTTCTGGAGTGAGATGAAGTCTCAGTGTTATTTTCATTTGCATCTCTCAAATGACCAGTGATGTTGAACATTTGTTCATATGCTTACTTGCTGCTTCCATTTCTTCATCTGAGAAATGTCTGTTCATTTCAGATGTCCATGTTTAGGTTGGGTCTTTAAATCTGGGGGCAGGGTATGATTTTTTTAAGTTCTTTATATATTCTAGATAGTAGACCATTGTCTGAGGAACAGCTGGTAAAAAATTTTTTCCCACATTATATATATTGTCTCTTCACTCTGTTGGTGGTTTCTCTTGCTGTGCAGAAGCTTTTTAATAAGATGAGATCTAACTTTTTGATTCTTTGTGTTCTTGTTTGACTGAGATTTTGTTCATAAAGTCTTTACATAGGTCAATGTCTTCAAGATACCTAACTGTCATCCAGCAGGTTTAATGATTCTCTTTTAATACTTAGAGCTTTGATCCATTTCAATTTTAGTTTAGTGCATGATGAGAGATATAAGTCTAGTTTTAATCTTTGGCAAGTTGAAACCTAACTTTTTTCAGCACCATTTATTAAAGAGGATATCTTTGCTCTGGTGAGGGTGTTTGGTTCCTTTGTCAAAGATGAGGTGACTGAGTGTCTCTGGAGTTGCTTCTGCATCTTCTAATCTGCTCCACTGGTCCTCAGGTCTGTTTCTTTGCCAGTATCATGCTGTTTGTATCACAATAGCTTTGCAGTCTAGTTTCAATTTGGGAATTGTGATACTCCCTGCCTTATCTTTGTTGCCCAGAATTGCTTTTTCTATTCAAGGTCTCTTCTGGTTCCAAATACATTTTTGGCTTGTTCTCTCAGTTCTGTGAAATATGCTGTTGGAATTTCAGTCAGGACTACATTGAATATATAGAAGTTTTGGAAGTATGTCCATTTTCACTATATTGTTTCTAACTACCCAAGAAAAAGGGGTGTCTTTCCATTTTCTGATATCCTCTTTAATCTCTTTTTTCAGAGTGCTGTAGTTTTCAAAGTAGAGGTCCTTTACTCCTTTCATTAGATTGATTCCTAGGTATTTCTTTTCTTTTCTTTTGGATGCTATTGTGAAAGGAGTTGTTTCCCCATTTCCTCTCTCAGTGAGTCTGTTATTTGTATACAGGAAGACTATTGATGTTTGGGTGTTGACCTTGTATCAGGTACTTTACTGAATTTGGTTATTAAAGCTAGAAGTCTTTTGGTGGAGTTTTTGTTGTCTTCTATGAAGAGTACCATGTCATCTGCAAATAATTACAATTTAACTTCTTCATTTCCTATCTTTATTCCTTTTATTTATTTCTCTTTTTTAATTGCTGTGGCTAATGTTTCCAGAACTATACTGAACAAGAGTGGTGATAGTGGGCATCCTTGTCTTGTTTCTGATTTTACCATGAAATTTTTCAATTTTTGACTCTAGTATGATATTAACTGTTGGGCTTTTGTAGATGGATTTTATCAGGTTGAGATAAAGACCATCTAGACCAATTCTCTTTAGGGTTTTTATCATGCATGGTGTTGGATTTTGTCAAATGCTTTTTCTGCATCTATTGAGATGATCATATGATTTTTGTCCTTGACTCTGTTAATATAGTGTGTTACATTTATTGATTTACATATGTTGAACCAACCTTGCATCACTGGAATGAATCCCACTTGGTCAGGATATATGATCTTCTTGATAATCTGCATTCTGTTTGCAAGTATCTTACTGAGGATTTTTGCATCCATGTTCATTAGGAAGATTGGCAAGTAGTTCTCTTTTTTGGTTGGATCTTTCTCTGATTTTGAATTCAAGGTAATGGTTGCTTCCAGGAATGCATTTGGGAATATTGCTTTCCTTTCAATTTCATTAAAGAGTTTGAAAAGTAGTGGCATTAGCTCTTCTCTAAATTTCTTGTAGAATTAGCAGTAAAGTATCAGGACCTGGGTTTTTCTTTGTTGGTAAGTTTTTAATTTCATTGATTGATATTGTGTTTAAAATTTTTATATCTTCTTTGTTCAACTTTGGTAATTCATGTGTATCTGGAAATCTGTCCATTTTTTTCTGTTTTCCATCTTATTGGTGTACAGGTTCTCTCACTAGGTATTGTTCGTCCACTGGATTTCTGCTGGGTCTATTGGAATTTCACCCTTTTCATTCCTAATTGCATGTACTTGGACCTTTCCTTTCTTTTTATTTTTCTTTCTTTTTTTTGATAAGGTTGGCTAGGTTTTATCAATTTTGTTTATTCTTTCAAAGAACCAAATCTTGATTTGTTGATTTTTTTGTATCATTATCTTAGTCTTCACTGCATTGATTTCTGCTCTGATCTTTATAATTTCCTCCCTTTAATGAGTTTTGAGTTTGTCTTGCTCTTCTTTTTCTTAAGGTTTGAGGTTCAACATTAGGTTATTAGAGCTCACTCTGTTTTCCTAATATAGGTATTCACTGCTGTGAATTTCCTTTGCAGGACTGCTTTGTGTCCCATAGATTCTGGTATGTTGTATTGGCATTACCATTTAATTATAGAAACTGTCTAATTTCTTAATTTCCTCTGTGACCCATTGGTTGTTCAGGAGGTTGTTATTGAATTTCCATGAGTTTATGAACTTTTTGTGGTTTCTTTTGCTATTGATCTCCAATCTCATTATGCTAAGGTCTGATAATATACCAGGGATAACTTCACTTCCTTTGCATTTTCTTAAGCATGTTCTGTGAGCTAGCACTTGGTCTGTTTTGAAGAACTACCTGTGTGCAGCTGAGAAGAACATGTATGTGGATGTTTTGGGATGGAACACTGTAGACATCTACTAAGGCCATTTGTTCACTGGTTTGATTCAGTTCTGATATTTCTTTGTTGATTTTTTGTCTACTTGATCTGTCTATTTGTGACAGTGGGGCATTGAGGTCTCCTACTACAATTGTATTAGTGCTTATTTGATTTTTCATGTCCCTTAATATTTGTTTTATATAGTTGGATGCTCTAGTATTTGATGCATATATATTTATGATTGTCATCTCTTCCTCTTGGATTGTTCCCTTTACAAGGATGTAGTGACCTTCTGTGTGTATTTTAATTAGTCTTGGCTTGAAATCCACTTTGTTTGCAAATGGGATGTCTACCCCTGCTTTTTTCTGGGCTCCTGTTGCATGGAGTATTGTTTTCCATCGTTTGACTTTCAGTCTATGAATTTCTTTTTTAATTAAGTGTGTTTCTTGTATGCAGCATATTGTTGGATCTTGCTTCTTGATCTGTTCTGCCAGTCTATTTCTTTTGATTGGTGAATTGAGACCATTAACGTTGATAGTTATAACTGATATATATTGACTTATCCTTGTCATGATATTTTTCTATTGTTGGATTTTTTTTCCTTTCTATTTAAATTCTTGCCTTGCCTAATGGATTCATTCTTTTGGACTTCATGAAGTTGTGATCCTCACTGTCTTTTCCTAGAATATTGTTTAGAAATTTTTGGACTGCTGGTTTAGTATTCATGAAGTTTCTCAGGTGTTCTTTGTC